GCAACATCGACGCAACTCGGAGGATATTACCCAACTCACCTTCCACCGGGCCCGTCGTCTCCAAACTCTCATTACTTGATTCAACAGTCGCCCGTTTCACACCTACGGCTGCGATATGGCTTTACGACAAGCCGAAAACGTCACAGTTGTCACGCACTGAATTCTTCGAGAACCTCGGCCACTCACTCAGTCAAACACTAAACTATTATCCGCACTTTTCAGGGCAGCTCCAATGGGCTACACCCGAGCAGGTCAAAGAGGATGCAGTGCCGCGACACCTTGGCCGGCTAGTAGTTGCGTATGGCTCGGCCGAAGATCCCGGAGTTGAGTTGTCCATCGCCACTCATGACTCAAAGCTCAGCGACATAGTCCCCAGCCGGGCTGAGAGGGCGACGAATTTGAAAGAGTGGAACGCCTCAAACTTCCATCAAAGCGAGTTCTTGCCAAAAACCAAGATTGCGCTCATGTCTTTGAATGCTATCGACGGGCTGCCTGCCATGGCCGTTCAGCTGACGTCGTTCAAGTGCGGGGGCTTTGGAATCAGCGCAATGGTCTCGCATCCTCTCGCAGATGCTGTGTGCTTGATGAACTTCATGTACTCTTGGGCAACAAGGTCGAGGGCTCTACTGGGCAACGTTGCTGCAAACGACGGTCTAAGCGTATTCAAACCTGTCTTTGATCCGGCCCAGCTTGACCAAGTTGCAGGGCTCACACCAGGAGGTCTCCCGGACGCATCAATAGTTGCAAAGGCTCGAGCATTGCCGATGCACCGGTTTGACTGGTGGGCAGAAGATGCACCAGGATATCCTCCAGGTGTCAGACCAGCTTCACTAGCCACCATGCCACCACCGGACGAATTGAGAACAACCAAACTCAGTCCGTCAACATATCCTCCGTGGCCGACTTGGGATATGAGTGCGCCAGTCGAACACGTTCAAATACGTTTCGCGGCAGCCGAGTTGACACGGATGAAGGAGGCTGCGCAAGCAAGCTTGCTAGACGACATGCAATTACTTCGAGTTTCCAGGCTTGATGCAGTCCTGGCTCATATCTGGACTCTTATGAACCGTGCGCGCGGCCATGAAGGAAAACTTGAACAAGCATATCTGAACATCACCTTGGGTCTACGAAATCGCGTCGATCCACCCTTACCAGACACGTTTGTTGGATCTCCTCTCCTCTTAGGATATGTTGAGAAAACCGCCAACGAAGCGAGCTCAATTCAGCTTGGGCCCATCGCCGGCGCTATCAGGCAGATGATGTCTCGCTTCACGCCAGATGTGGTGGCAGCCTACATCCACGACGCCGCACACGAGGTTAGCCCTCAACGTTTATGGCAAGGCTTCTTGGGAACTCACCATACCCTCGTGACATCCTGGGTGAGAGCCAAAACCTATGACCTTGACTTCCTGGGCACGGGGGAGTTGGCTCGGTATGTCCAGGGCGTCATGCCAAAGATTGACGGCCTGGTTCAGATCATGGATGTTGCCGACACCGGTGACTTTGATGTGAGTGTATGTATGCAACGAAGTGCCATGGACCGGCTATTGAAGGACCATTCGCTGCATCAATACGCGTAGGCAAGCTAGAGAGCCAATCGCAACGGTAAATTAGCGTCAACATGGACAGAGATGAAACCTGAAATAGAATATAGACAAAAAAGAATTGTTTAAGTCAATCGCTGACGGGAATTGAGCCCGACGTGGCTATGAGGTGTTAGACACTGAACTCGGATCAGTTCCTGAGTGTTTAGATAGACTTACGGGTCGAACCCACAACCTTGAGATTAAGAGTCTCACGCTCTACCGATTGAGCTAGCCGGGCAGGCTATTGAAGGTGTGCGATAGTTGCCAGCGGCTGGAGGTCCAAGATGCCGCATCGTGAGTTGTGCGTGGATCATTGAGGGCTAAGCCATGTCGAGACTCCACCCATAACATCACTAGCGGCTTCCACACTCCGTCCAAGAGTCAGAGTTCACGAAGAACCATGATTTCAACTCGACTCATCGACAAATAGACAAGAAACATTATGTGGTTTCACCAATGTATTGAATTAAGACGTGCTCAAGAGAGACGTCTCTTTGGAATCTCGGTAAGAGCTCTTTTGAGAATTACAACGCTACGGCGGCCAATCCCCAAATTCGGTTTTGAACAGATGATGCAATTATTACATAGAAGAGCCTTGTATGTACAATGGTCCTGGTTGGCAATGCACTGGACCTAGTCTAGCTATTATCATGGTACTTATGGGCATCTCTTGACCACATGCAGCCCAACCTCCAAACGGGAATCGTCCCTAGACTCATGCGTAGACGTAGCAAAGAGGGGAACCGCCGATAGTGTTCAAGACCTCGTCAATAGTGCGGTTTTCAGCATTGACGCCAAGGTCAAGAATATCAGTCTTCAAAGCGTCCCTGCTGGCCGGCTTGTTGTTGATGGTAATCGTACCAGCAATGTTGAAAGCGTCCCACAGGTGGAGGGCCTGCCACAGCCAATATACGCGGTCAACCATGGCATGGTGCAGAAAGAAGCTGGGGTCGACCGGGGAGGAGTACAGATCGCTAGCTTCGCCGTTGACGGAGAAGTGGCCGGACGCGTGCATGCCGAGGAAGCCGTCAGAGAAACGGCCCTGGAGCTCGTTCTGGAAAAGCTCTATGCTCTTGGAGGCCGCGCCTACCGTGATGTTGAGCATGTTCTCGTTCGTGAACCATGTTGAGGCGGTGTAGTTGCTCAGATCGCGACTAAGGCAACGAGGGTTATAGCCAAGCTTGCCGGTCGGGCTGGCCTCGAGGCCGTCCATGCCGGGGTTGACCGGGCCAAGGTTGACGGTCATGCTAGATGGATGTTAGTCACCAATTCAACGGTGCAAAGATCTATAAGGAAAGCTTACTTCTTGAAAGGACCGCTTGTGACACAGCCACCACCATCGCCAGAAGGCAGGACAATGGCACCTGCACCGCTGACGCTGCCGTTGTGCTGAACAAAGGCGCCGTCGCCGCTCAAGCTGGTATCACTGCCATCAAAGACAGGGGATTTCCGGAGATCGTCCTGGTACTTCAACCAGTTCCAGTACTGTAATATAATTGTCAGACCCATTGGAAGATCTCCCGTTCATGGCAATGGAATCCACTTACTGGCTGGGAGCCCTTGTAGCCGCATTCGTTCCGCAGAGCCTCTTCGTATGCCCAGACGAAGTAGCGGTGCCATGTCAAGAAGTTGCCCTGAATTGTCATGTCAGACCGAAAAACGATTTGGCTTGAGTGTTGGTATTACTCACGGTTCCGTGGATCTTGGTTGTCTGGTTGATGTGGACGGCGACAAAGTCATCGTAACGGTTGCGAGCACCGGGAGCAAATTCGGGGTCCGACTTGGAAGGCGAGGTCAAGAGACATTGGACGGCACTGATGTAGTCTTTTCTCTCCTGGGAAGAAAACGCCTCCCTTGAAGACGGGTCAGCTTCCAATTCGAGATCGGCACTGCAATGGTGTGGGAGTGACGAACCAGTCCCGACGGTAACGAGCATTGAAGATGTTGCAGCTACTGCGCTTGTTGCCCGCGCTCGATGCGGTCAGAGCACTCATAGCCTTATCCTGGAGTTCGGCGAGAACATCGCCATTCTCGATGGGCGAGGCCATGACCGGCGCCACCAGCATGCCCACGGCCGCAGCCGCAATGGTGAGGGGAAGCATTGCTGAAAGTTCTTGTTTATTCAAGATGGAATAAGTAAAATGCAGGGGCGCCGCGTGCGCAAGCAAGGAACCGAGAGGGAGAGAGCTGTGGTCCAAGGCACGTCAACAGTCAGAGAGAACTGGACAGGATTTCCACTAGAGGTGCGCAAGGTCAAGTGGGAAGTGGGAGCGGACAGGACGGTCCGGAACAGTCACAAGAGAATCAACCACCAGACAGATCTCGTTAGCTATATAGATAGATGCCTGTTCGACGTTGGGAATAAATTAAAACTCCCGTTGTCTGCACTAGTGCCCCCGACCGTGGCGGCCTGCAGGGCTTCGGATCCGCGGGACGGAGATGGTAACCGCACTGGGCAGCGGGAATATTCCAACAACGCCGCCGCTGTTGGCGGGAAGCATGGTACTAGTATCCATTGCCGGGGGCAAAGAATTATCGAGGAGAATTATGAAGAGGGGTCACTAATCGAACGGTTTTTATGCTGTGACACTGTGGATAGGGCAGCAAGAAACCGGAAAAGTCGAAGACTCAACAGCCCAGATCCGGGGCCCACGATGCTGGGATGAAGAATGTAACCTTCTTTAGGTCAAGCGCGGAGCCGGCCGGTGGACGGGTGACAGGGGAGATGCGTTGCCATCGGTCGCCAACTCGCCACAAGTTCAAAGTGGCGGATATTAAACGGCAACTGGCTTCGGGAAGACGGCAAGTTAAAGATAAGATTTGTTGACCCAGAATGGTTTTACGATAATAATGAGCCAAAGACTTAGTACGTGGACTAAGACAAACTGTAATCACCTTGTTCCGTGGGCCGAATCTGTGCGGCATCATACACGCTCTTAGAGCTCAATAAGCTTAAAAGTCAAAAAAGGATCAGACAACAACATGTTCGTCCCAACTGCCCGCATGCAACAGTAAATTGTAACAGTCAGTGTCCAGCTGGTCGGCCACCGTCCGACTCCACAGAGTTCCGCTCCCCATCTCGAGGGTGACCAACCGATCCGGATAGATCGTATGGTGTTTTGTTCAACATCTCCAGTGTATGTGGTTTCCACTGTCCCATTTTAATCTTGGCATGCATGCCATGTCTTCCGACTGGCAGGCCACTAGATCCTTTCATGGGTCGGTGACACCCTCCCTGTCTCCCACCCGATGCCGCCAACAACAATGACCTGGTGTGCCTGGTGGCTGATTTCTTCCTTTTTTTTTCCTGTGCCGCTAAGTTCTTCAACCGGGTATCATGCAGAGATTCCCTCTTCGGTTCGATGGCCGACTCCGAAACCCAGTATTTTCTCCCCTTTTTCTTCCGTGCCGAAAGCGCGATACACTTTTCCAGGGTGGCTTGGAGGACTTACGAATTGCTACTGCCCGATTGGGGTGGCAGGATCAATATCGCTCCTTGACGCCGCTCCTCACCAACAAACAATTTCGAGCAAATTGCTAAAGATATCTGTGTTCACAAGCTTCGTTGTATCAATCTTTTCCGTATTGACAATTCAGGGGCAGACTTACCGCAGCGTTTGGTCGCTTGCTGCTGCGTTCAAGCACCTAGTGACGCTCGCGGCACTGCAGCAAGGTGGCACGTAATGTGGGAGGCATCCATGTGGCCCCTAGGAGATCCTGAACACTCTTTTCATTCCACATCCTGCCCACCACCTGCTTAGGCGATCCTGCAGGTGCAGACTGTGCAGCACATTGAATCCGTCGATCCACTTCTCTACAAGGAAAACTCCGGTACAGAATTCTCGAAGAAAACAGTCAATGGTGCGGTCACTTCGCTACCTCGGTGCTAACTTCTAGGCCGTGTGGGCTGATAGGAATGGATCAACCTCCCTGCTCTGGAACGCAGTCTAGAAAGGCACAGCGCATCACCTTCCCGAGGCAGACTGGAGTGGCAGCACGAATATTCCCCTTTTGACGGAGTCCGATCCCGTCATCCAATGATGCTCCCTTTCACAGTTCCCAACTCCTCGTTGCGTGATGATTGAGGTCCATGTATCCATATCCCTCCCGAAAGCCCCGTCCGTACCGCGTGCGTGGTTACTGCAGTGTGGCCCCCGTGGATCGGGTTTCATCTATCCAGTTCCTTTCTTCCTAGGTACAGAATAGATTATGAGCCCCCAATCTGGAGTACTAAATTGGAACAGCAAGATGCTTAAAAGAATCCGCTGATCCTCTCGCTACTCAATGTGTCCACCCTCCTGAAGTTTTGTGACTTTCTTCGACTCCCCTCTCACCATCTGTGCGTCTGCTTGACGCCGCGCAGCCGCGTCATCCGCCGCAATGTCTTCGACGTCCAGCACAACGGCCGTCGACCCGGAGCGTGCCAAGGAAAGCAATACGGCCATGATCCTGGCCGTGACGGGGACTTTCCACGCGCTCGCGCTCGTCTTCGTCGTCCTCCGAACGTATACCCGCGCCGCTATTGTGAAGACGATAGGTATCGACGATTACATGATGATCATGTCTGCCGTAAGCCATCCATATTACTACCAAGGTTGCCATTACACCAAGATAAGGGTGACCATGCTGACTTTTAACAGCTCTGTGCGCTAGGTGGGGGTATGGTAATCTTCATTATTCAGGCGTTTTACGGACTCGGCAGACACAAAGACACAATCAGCAAGCCAGATCAAGTGTTCTTTTCCAAGGTTGGCTTCTTTCAATCGATCATATCCGCCATCGCTGCTCTGGCGTTTCTGAAGATCTCAATTGCACTATCGCTGCTGCGTCTAAGCAAGAACAAGTGGTACTCAAGGTCGCTATGGGCTTTGATCGGTACGATACCTATCCGGCCTACACTCACTGTGACCGTCTGGATCTTTCTAACATATCATTAGTGTTCGTGGTGCTTTATACGATCATGGCATGGCTTAGTTTCTTTTTGTATTGCAGCCCGATGGAAGGATATTGGGACAAGAGCCTCAAGCCAAAGTGCTACAACATCAAATTGTTCGTCAACTTTGCGCTAGTCAATACTGGTGAGCCGACATACTTAACCTTTTGCATCGCTTTAGAAGCTAATTCAGCTCAGCGTTCAACATCTTTACCGACGTCTGTTTCGCATCTCTGCCTATTCCCATCATTTGGGTCTTGCAGATGAAGTTGCGCACACGGGTGTATTTAATTGTTGTACTTAGTCTAGGATACTTGTAAGTTTTGTTCCAGTCGACATAAAGGCTGCGTACCGGGGCTGATTCATCTCAGGGCTGTTATCATGGGCATCATCAAGGCCATCTATCAAATTGCGCAACCAAGCAGCAAAGACGGAACCTTGTAGGTCCTCAGAGGTATTGCCGACAAAAAACATTACTGACGAGTGATTCTAGTTACCAAAGTATCCAATTCTGGGGTTTGTAAGTTATCCGTATGTTACACGGACTAAAGCGAAGTTGAACTAACAATCCTTTCTACAGCCTCCAACTCAACCTCGGCATCATCGCCGCCTGCGCGCCAGCATTGAAACCCCTCGTCGGCCGCGCCCTCAAGATCTCATCGAGCCGCCACTACAACAGCGATAACCTCTACGAAAACCGATACCCGACTGGACGATCCGGTAGAACGGGGAACATCACCACTGGCACTGCTCGAAGGCAGGGCTACAGGGAACAGGGAAGTCAGGGGGCACCAGACTATGAACTTGAGGATGGGCCGTTTTCACCAAGCCCAGAGTTCTACCGTACGACCATAAAAGGTGGAAACAATACTCCGGCGGCAGTGGCTGTGTATCAGAAGAAGAACAGCTTTGGCGACAGGTCGGGGAGTGAAGAGTTGATCCTGGAGACCGGGCATGGGTTTGGAGATAATAAGGGTATCATGAGGACGACGGAAGTTCATATCCAGCGTTGAAGACCTGCGGTTAGGGCAGCACGACCGGTTCTCTTTCGCTACGATGCCCAACAATGGTGAAATGAGAATATACGATTGACTCCATTTGAAGCGATTGCGTTTGGCCCCTTTCTTGACTTAAGTAAGGTATGCTCAGCCTTTGGCATTTCTTTTTGCTGACATCCTCCAATACTTACACTTCAAATGTGGGCCTACTCGTGGTCCGAAAGGTGGTATCATTGGCATGAAGAGTAAGATCATGTTTGTAAGTGTAGTGACCCCCTTGATGCACAATAAGAGCAAGTTTATGCGGACTCTGAACTGGGTTGTGTGCTAGGTGGCACTCAGATGAGTGTCATCAATATATAGAGTCAACCCTCCACGACTAAGCTACATAACCACCAATAATATCATCCCCTTTCCCTGGAGCCCTGGTTGGGTAGACCCTAAGCAAACCTAGATAGAAAGATCCTCCATCCTCAGGCTAGCCAAACGTCCTTGTGTCCCAAAAACAGGCTCAAAGCCCCTTTTCGTTGGAGTTGCCGGAATCAAGCTCGGTAGTAACGTGTCGCCGCCTCAAATTGCCAGCCTCGTCATGCACCTCGTCCCATGCAGCAACCTCGGCTTTGGGAACTCTGACCAGGCGATGCGTGTTGGCACCGTTGGAATCGACCTCGACAATCTCCGTGCGGATCTCATATCCCAACCAGCGGGGGAGGACGTACATCCAGAAGACGTAGTACAGAATGCAGAGAAGGATGCTAGCAGACCGCAGAATATGTCAGCGGCTTTCTTTATACTTCAGGTTCACAATTGAACAAGGGGTTACTCACATGCCGATACCCACGACACAGTACGTGGCGTACCAAAAGCTGACACTTCCTGCGTACGGGCCACCTTTTGGCGGCCACCACGGCATCGCCAGCACAAAGACCTGGATGGCGAGGAAGAAGAGGACGACAAAGTCCCAGGCGCGGAACTCGGAGCGGCTGATGCCGGAGCGCTGACGACGTCGTCTGAGGACGAAGACGCCGAAGGTCATGGCGAAGTTGAAGATTGCGCTGGGGTAGCTGGCCAGGTCAACGACTGCATCTGGTGTTAGTGGTGGGTTCAAAGCATGGATCAGCAGATCCCTGGGGATGAGGTCATACCGAAAGAGAAGGCATCGCCAGCAGGGGGCGCAACAATCATGATGAAGGTCATTGTCCACTTCAACATGTACGGACCCAATGGAGTTCCAAAGGGTTTAGTCGAGACCCAAAAGTTGGTGAATGGAAGGACACCTTGTCTAAGTCCTAAAGTCAGCAAATATTCCATCAAATCGAAACGAAAAGTCTACTAACCGGCCAATCTCACGAATCATACGCGAAGATCCAATCAAGACAGCCAACAAATTCCCAAAAGCACTCAACAAGACCAAGAAATTCAAAACATTCGCAGCAGCCTTGCTCCCGCCGAACAACTTTGAAAAGAACACGGCGGCCGCAATCTCGCTCGCGCCCTTGAACTCGGCCTTCGGCACGGCGGCGAAGTAGGCAATGTTGCAGAGCATGTAGAGGATGGCGACCGTCAGCAGCGAAATGATGCCGTTCTTCTTGAGCGTGGGGATCGGGTTCTTGATCTCGTTGGTCATGTTGAAGGCGTTGTAGTAGCCCGCGTACGAGAAGATGATGCTGACGAGGGCGTTCGAGAGGTCGTTTCCGTTGCTGGTTGTGCCCTCGAAGGCGTTGCGGAAGTTTGCTTTTGGGTCCGGGATGTGTTTGACGTTGCCGCCTAGGACTACGAGACCTGCTATGGAGATGCTGGAGGATGAGTGTTAGCTGCGATGGAAAGTTTGGTTTGGATTGGGTAGGCAACTAACAAGACGAGAGTGAGAAGCTTCAGGACGCCAATGAAGTTCACGAGCCAAAGGGAGTATCTGTTGTGTGCGAGGACGCAGATGACGGCCAAGGTGTAAGCTGCGATAGCGACGCCTCGCATCTGCCATTCCGACGGCGTAATATCAGCCATTCTCCACAGGTATCGAGACAGAACTGCCACACGTGTTAGCGATTTCCTCCAGCTCTGGCGTTGATGCTCTCTTTTACTCACCGACTGCATTACTGCTGCTGAATGACAGGATCACAGACTGGACAGCAAAAGCAACAGGAAAGAAGTGCTTGGGTCGAGGGTACTGCTGCTCCAAGTAGACGACTTCCGAACCGCTGCGGTTGGGGAAGTAAGTCAAACCCCCCACTTCCCGGCACCCCCCTGTTTCTGGCACCCACAAAAACGCGAAAATCCACCACAACGCAATGCCCACCCCCAACCTCCTTTTATCACAACATTTTCAATTCGAGTCCAAATGGGCTCATTTTTTGCACATACCTTCTTCTATATCTAATGCCTCAATATACCGAAGATCAGCTTCGTCAGGCTCGAGGACATCTCAAACGGCAAGAGTCAAAGAGAGCCTCATTGGAGTATGGGATACCACGATCAACCCTCCAACTACGTCTCCAAGGTGGTCAGACTAGGAAAGTGGCTTTGCTGACTGGCAGAGGCTGTCTCCTGACCAGGAGAGTAGCTGGCACAATGGGTTCGCATTCAGGCTTCGCTGGGCCTCGCACCAACGCACCAACAGGTGAAGGAATTCGCAGAGCGAGTTCTGGCTGCTGCTGGGGATACCAAACCATTAGGAAAGGCTGGATCTATGCCTTCGTGAGAAGGACCCTATCATTAAGGTTCAGAGAAGTCGTTCCATCGATTCTAGACGCGTTAATGGGGCATCTACTGAGGTCATTAGGAACTGGTTTAAGTTCCTTGCTATCCCTGAGATCAAGGACATCAAACCAGCCAACAGATATAATATGGATGAGACTGGCATCCTCGAGGGTCAGGAGCTAATGGGTTAGTGCTGGGCATGGCTGAGACGACGTCTGTTCGCAAGAAACAACCTGGGTCGAGGGCATGGGTCTCTATCATTGAGTGTATCTCAGCCTTGGGTAGGGCACTTCGTCCTCTTATCATTTTCAAGGGAAGACGGTCCAACAACAGTGGTTTCCATTACATCTGGTTCCATACGATGGGTGGGAGTTTACAGCAACAGATAATGGCTGGACTACAGACTTAACTGCCATTGAATGGTTAGAGAAGGTGTTTATCCCACAGACTATGCCCGAGGCTGAGGGCGAGGCTCGACTGTTGATTGTGGATGGGCATGGGAGTCATACGACGACAGACTTCATGTGGAATTGCTATATTAACAATATCCATTTACTGTTCTTACCACCACACTCCTCTCATGTCCTCCAGCCACTTGACCAGTCTGTCTTCAGCCCTGTTAAGTCAGCCTATCGGAAGGAGCTCGGTTACTTGTCTCAATGGAACGACTCTACCATTATAGGTAAAAGGAACTTCCTGGACTGTTACCAGAAGGCTCGACTTGCTGGTCTATCAGTCTCGAACATCAGAAGTGGTTGGAAGTGGACTGGTCTACACCCTGTAGCGATGGTTAAGCCCTGATGAACCCTATGGTATTACCTGAGCCTTCTGCTGCCCACCACACCCAAACCAACCAGTCGGGGCAAAAGCGATGCCATAATGGTCAACAAACTACCCTGTTGAGCCATGGGATTCTGCTTCCTCTGCAGTGGTCTGGTCGACACCCAGGAAGCTGGCAGAGCTCAGCGGTCAACTGCACTTATACACCCAACTCGACAATGATACCAGCACTCAACGGCTGCTGTTCAGGAAGGTGAAAAAGGCTTCACAGAGCAGGCCTGGCAACTGGCAGTTGCCCAGCAGCAGCTGGCTCACCTGAGGGCTCAAGTTACCAACGCTGCAGTTAGGAAGAGGAAGACTGTTCAGATCGATCCCAACACGAAGTTTGCGAACATCAGGGATATCCATCGGGCTCAAATCGAAGCGGGTGAAAAGGAGGTTATTACGGCTGAATCCAGCGACTCTGAATGCCCTAGTGAGGCTGGCAGTTGTATTGTAGTGGGTGTGGTTGAGGATCAATAGTTAATAGTAATGAGGAGGTTGGGTTGTGATCCCATCGTTTTTGTGGGTGCCAGAAACAGGGGGGTGCCAGGAAGTGGGGGGTTTGACTTAACTGGCCAACTCAAGATAGACACTGAAACCGGCCGAGGCCATGAGGAAGCCAATCACCCAGTACATCAATGCCAGACCAATTGAGCCCGTTCTGTTGAGGATACTAGCAGCTACACCGGGATAATATCAGTATCCAGTACCTCTCAAGAAGGCAAAGTCTGGCCTTGACCATCTTGTCACACAAGCATAAAGAGCTCAGGCTAACTTACGAGTAGAGAAAACACCAGTCCCAACCATCATATTGATATTCAAGAAAATGATAGCCACCCAATTAACATGGTACCCCAACGGCGAATCAGCTTCAACAGGCGCACCGACAGCCTCCTGATACGACGGCTTGGAGCCATTGCCTCCCTTGACCCTGGTATACGCGAGATCGCCATCGTGAATGATGGACGGCTCAGAGTCGCTGGCCTCAGGGTCGGCGCGGACAGTCGAATCCGCGCCGCCCGACTTCTCGCTCGGGAAGATCCTCGAAAAGACCATTGTCGAGGTGGTCGTGCCTTATCTTCTGTGGAGAGCAGGTTTCACCGGCCGGTCAGGTATGAGGGGGGCCACAGGTGGCACGTGGATGGGGACCCGGGTGAGTTGGAAGAGGCCAAAGCGGTGACGGCACGATCTCGAGGAGAGTTCTAGATGAGCGCCATGGTCGCGCGAGGATACATATATACAGATGGGTTCCCACGTCGTTCTTCAAGACTGCGAGTGACACCCTCCCACCCTCCGTCCCCGACTCATGTTCGCAGGCGACAGGCACTATAACTGGGGGTACCGAATCACACAATCGATTATCCCTTGGCATTATATTCCTTACCCATGCCTCCAAGCTAGCTTCAGTTGCTCGACAAGTCAACACCAACCATCTTGGCACTCGAAAACCTTTCCACAGTAAGAGGCACAGAAGCACGCAATGGAGGGTCAGATCAGTTCCCTCGAACTCAATTGAGTGAAATCCAACCGGTCAAGCCGACCAGGGCGCGCGCGGCTGGGCCAGAGCTGAAGTTAGCACGAGTTTACAACCGTCGCCACCCCCGTCCTTCACTACATGCCGAGACGCGCGATTGTAACGTCCCAACAGCAATGGAGAAAGAAAACATGGGACGGAAAGAGGAACGGACGGGTTCCAGGGACCACCGCGGAGAGTGCGTTTCCACCGCGGCTTGTCCCTAGTCTCTTTCTCTCCCTTCTCTTACTTGTACATAGTGTACTCGAACGTCCGTGGATTCGCTCAAATCGGATGTGCAAGTATGTGGTGTTACCCGCGCCGAATCCACCCCCGCGCGGGCGTGGTCCCACTGATTTTGTGGATTATGTTGATAGGTTGGCGATGGAGTAACACCGAGGGTAAATGACGACATCCGGTAGCCGGTACCAAACGTTCTAGAACGGCAATTGAGGAGAGCTGGATGTCCGCGCCTTGAAGTGCTCTACGATGTTCAGTGAGCCGTAAATCAGCTGAAGCATCAGAATCTGATATACACAGGGAGATAAGATTCTCCAGGCGGGGAACTTGTCTGCGATAATTAATGTAGTCGAAGTTCTTGCGATCTTGAAGGACCGTAGGCGTAATCTGACAACTGTGCTTTCGATCTCAACCACGCCTCAATTGACAGGTATTCTTTATAATTATGGTCTGGTACCAACGTGTCACTCCAATCCCCTCTTGACGTCCCTTCCACCGGATTATGGTCCCAAGATGGGAGGGCCAAGCCTCGAACACGGGAAGACCGTTGCGTGAGACAAGACTTGGCCGAACATCCCCTTGATATAGCATCTCCAAACGGTCTTACCAAGAAATCACGTAATCCATGGCGCTATTCGTTCAATCATCCCATCCCACGGCACCTGCCACGAGCAGAACGCTGTCATTTCATCGCGTCAAGGAAAAGCTTGGCAAGGGCAACGAAAGAGTCCGCTACCGTTGAGCGATCTTAAATGCAGCTCAATCCGAGAGCACTAATTGGGGCAATTGATCCATATGCCAGCCGTGAGAACACGAAAAGAAGCGTGGGACTGTTCGGTCTCCCTGCCGGCTTGGGGGTGGGATTTCATGTCGACATCGGGCCGCTCAATAGCGCCATCGAAGAACCCCGGGCAGTACGCGCCTTGGCCAACGCCCCGCCAAGCATTCGATGGGAAACCTTCGGGGGAATCATCTAATCGGCCTGCCGAGACCACACATGGACATAATAGCGTTGTAACAAAGTTTGATGGAAAGATGGGAGTACATCAGGCGGGTGAATAAAAGTCCGGCTAGGCCACGTACATCTCTCTACTCATCGTGATCTCAAACGACATCGTGCGGTCTTTACTATCACTCAAGCACAGTCACCAGATTTCAGTAACAACTCCTTCAAGGTATCCAATCTCATTATGTTACGCAGCAGACGTACACAAACTCGTACACCCAGTCTCCTACTTTTGTCCCAAGAGTACATCAAGTACTCGTCCCAACTAATCGAGGAGCGGTGATGCAAACCCAAGTCCAACACACCCCACTACCAACGCCAGACTCGACAATCCAAACCCAACCTAACCTAACCCATTCCATCCCGTGATATACCCATGATATATTCCATCCATAATCTATCCAGTGCACCCTAAACACACCAAAATCAACAAACCCCTAAAAGTCAAACGGCGTAAAGATATCCGTAAACCACCGATTGTCCATCAAATCCAACCCAAACTGCCCCAGCTCAACCTCCCCAACCCCAGCACCACCACCCATCCCAGCCCCGAGGACACCAGTCCCATCAACTCCCGCAGCAGCAGGGGCATCAACCTTGGCCAACGGCGCCATAGAAGCCTCCCACGTCCCCTTGAGCCCCTTGATAGTCTTGACAGCTTTCGCAAACGCATTTCCCTCCTCAACATCGACATTCAACCCAGCCTCGCTGCAAACCCTCATGAACCGGTCCCCAATCTCGTCGAGCGTCGCAATAAGATCAATCGTCGACCGCACGCTCGCCCGGTCCCATACGGGGTCCTCGAGCACCGAGAGGCGGTAGAGCGCAATCGTGCAGTGGGACAGCTGCGAGAAGGTGAGGAAGGGGGTCGTGTAGTAGGCTGCGGGCGGCAGGGTGAGGAAATGGTCAAACCACGCCTTGACGGCGTGTAGACAGGCGTAGTAGATGTCGAGGCGGGCCACGTCCGGGAGGTTGGCGGGCACGCAGGTGCCTGTCTTGTTGGAGAGGGCGATTTCCTGGATGGAGAGTTCTGTGCAGTGAAGTTGGGCGATGATTGTGTCTGGTTAAAGGTTAGAGATGAGTTGTTGAGATATGAAAGGCAGAAGTGCGGTAGGAGAAAGAAGGACGAAGGAAGGAGACTAACCTGTGCTTTGGAGCTCTGACGGCAGGCTCTGAATATGCTGCTGGAGCTGCCTCTGTAGCAGCTTGACATACATGGCAGGCGGCGTCCTGTGCGAATCGACGATGTCGAACGTGGTTTCGGGACGCCATGCCGCGGACATCTTCCCGGCCTCCTCCTTGAGTAGCTGCATCCTGACCAGTGCGACGAGGGTGCGGTCTGAGGGCGACTCGGGCTGCTCGTCGAGAACTTGCAGACATTCATCCATGTGTGGTGTCCAACGCAAGGGGTCCATCTTGCCTAAGAAACTCGCGACGCTAGACGGATGTTAGCATTGTTATCTCAGTCATTGCCAACGCCTAGAATCGATAAGCTGGTTGAGTAGATCGAGGGTACTCACGCCGATGAGATGAGGTAGCAAGCGACCACAGCCCTCCTCTGCTCCATCGTCCGCGGCATCTGTGACTTGACATACAAAGTTTGCCCCACAGCTCCAGTCTTCTCGCGGTCGGCCCTCTCCTGAGCAGCCTTCCAGCAGAGGAAAGGGTTCAGGTTGTCCAAGGGGTCGCGGGACATTCCCAGATCAAAGATGAGACCGATAGCAATCTGGCAGAACAAGCACATGAACGGCTTGTTACCAAGCTGGTGATTTGCCCTGAAAAGACACCTAGAATGTCAGCGACACCGGCAACATGTGTAAACGATTTCACTAAGAGAAAAAAAGAGCAGAATCACGAACGTGACTTGTACTGACCATCCCAAAATCACCAACAGCCCGAGGAGGTAATCAATACTCCTCTCGTTCTCGACAAGCAGCTTGTGGCTCACGATCTGTCGCACCCGCTGGCCCAGCGCAAGCTGCTGACTTGATACCCTCGAGGCAACGGTCATGACGCAGATCCACAAAAACGGCCTCTCGCCGCGCAGCTCCTCAGCCGTCATCGTAGCCTTGAAGTTGAGAAACGGGAAGTATTTGAGATTCTGACCGCGGAACGCCTCAAAGAGCGCCTCCGCCTCGTCTGGTGAGGGCAGCTCGTCGCCGTACCCGGGTTCCTCGGGGCTAGCCGTCTGCGTCGGCGTCGGCAACGACGCCCCACGGTCTCTGCGATCACCTTTACCGAAATGCTGCGCCGAGTCAAAACCTCCACCACCGCCGCCGCCAGCACCATGCACATCTCCCATCTCAGAAGACTGCCTCCTCGCCGCCTCCGCAGCAGCAGCAGCAGCAGCCGTCGTCGACGAAGAGGAACCAGACCCCCCAGACAAGTGAATATCAACCCCCAAATCAGCCGACAAGGTCGGCCTCCCCGACTGCCTCAGCAGCGTAACAAGCCCATCAAGCTTCTCCTCCAGCTGCGCGGTCCGGCTGGACGGCGGCTTCTTGGAGCGTTTCCGGATAGGGTTGCTCGGCTGGCACGACTTGCCGAGCCGGTGACACCGCTCGCAGGCCCCACCGACGGGGCGGAGGATGCATTTGCACTTTGCGCGGGAGCAGTTGGTGCAGGCCCGGCCGTAGGGTGCGGCGATGCCGCCGTTGACCGACTCGGCGGCCCCCGCGTCGCGGGTTTCGATCCCCGTCGGCATCCGGGATTCAGACCTGGAGGCGGATGCCCCTGTCGTTTAAGTTCAAAGAACAGGAAGAAAAAGGTGGTAAAAAAGGTACAATCCGTCAATGTGCAAGGCTTCGCTTTCTTTGGTAAGCGGGCCGAGAATCCGGAAGTCCCCCTTCCTCCGGGGTTGTGGGCGGCGAGCGGACTTGGTTGAGCAGTGGCGTGTGTGTGTGAGTTGCGTGATGGTTACGGTGGTGCCAGGTCCCGGGGTTGGTGGCGGGCCAAAAATCGCCCTGCTAAGCTTTTTGGCTGCAGGCGATCAATCTCTCCCTTTCTCTCTCAGTCTCTTGTGTGTAGGTATCTCTCTGTCTGTACTCTGTGTCTCACGATATTTGCAGCCAACGAAACACCCGCCAGCTTTGAACGGGCTTCAGATGTCCGTTTGGTATCGCAAATGCCGTTTGGATGGAGTGCAGGAAGTGTGAGACCAACGAGAAAGGGAACTTAGGAAGTGGGAAGGGGGAACAATGAGCGATGGAGTGAGCTGGAGGAGGATTGGCTTCGAAACCCGCCGGGTTTGGGACGTGGGTGGTGTGGGCGATGTCGAGGACCTTGCGGCATATGTACGTCGAGAGGCGGAGTTGAAGTTGAAAATGTTGAAGTCCGGCCGGTTCTACTGATGTCAGCCTCAGATGTGGTCGCGGCTGATGGAGGTGAGCCTGAGGCTTACGTGTGGCTTGCGTGTGGCGCGTGGGCGGGGACAGGGGTATGTGTTGTGCCGAATACCGAACTCCGCTCCCGCTCCCGGCCCCGCCCCAAGTCTCATCCACTAACAAACGCAAGGCCGCCCGCTAGGAATACTTTAACCGTTCGCATAGAAACATCTTACATCAGCCTAGATCTTCTGACATGACGGAGGATTGTAAGTTTTGATCTCTGCCTTATTGGCAGCGAGCAGGAACTTTGGAGACACTTTAGGTGTCAATAGTCCGAGACGAACATATTGATCATGTGGTATATCTGGGGAGAGGATTATCTTGAGCCTTGCTGGTATCGAGATCAGGCTGACCCAATTCTTATCCCACTTCTTCCAAACCACCTATGCAAGACTACTGCCAAATGTCACAAAGAAAAGAAGGTTCACAACGACAACTGCAATGCACGCTGCAGACGACACATGGCCAGAAAGCAAAGAAAGGAGCACATGTTCACATGAGGTGGGTTGAAAGACAAAGTGATGAAGTGTGCCATGGGTATTCGATTAAAAGTTACCATGCAACTTGGGACCTAACGCCTTAATGGCTGCTTTTTACTAACGCAGCATGGCCTCAAATGAGGCAATCAAAAAATCCTCGAATGTTGCCTTATCGCGGGACAAAGACATAAAGATCAACGACTCCGTAGAGCTGGCCGCAGCCTACCGTTGACGAACCACCTCCAACGCCGAAACGAGAACTCATTACTTTCCTTCCCACAGGAGAAGCACATCAGTTGCTCCCTGTGAAAGGGTGCTCGTGAAAGTGGTCCCCCTGAAAACCGTAGTGCCCAAGTCGTCGCGTGCTTACGACGGCCTCTGCAACACCCACTCCGCCTAGGTGCCAAAGCACAATTATCCCATTCTGGAACAGGTTCGAGAGACTGGCCGACGCAAGATCAAAAAAAAGAAGCATCCGCAGGGTATTTTTGTCGTACTGTACAATATGTCGGTCTGAGACTGTGCCGAGGCGTCGCAGTGTTTCGTTCAAAGAATTGGAAGTCTCTCCATAAAGGTCAAGTTTGATCAAGAGGTGAGTCAAACTCCGCCACCCATGAAGGCAGCGAGATCGTCAAGCTCAAGCAGCTGTCGCTCGAATGCGGAGCAGAGTTCGCTAGCCGTCATGTCCTGAGGCACAGGAGCAGCAGGCTCGGCAGACGCCACGCCGTTGCCAATGGGAGGTTGAGGAAGCATCTCGGTGGACTGCTTGATCTCGGCCGGCTGGGGAGGAGGAGGGCTGACGGAAGCCGGGGTACCAACACCGCCGGAGCCACCGTTAATAGTAGTGACACCGGGGCGACGCGGCAGAGGAGCGGGAGGCTCGCTCTCGCGGCCGCTCTCTCGGCCACTCTCGCTCACAGAGGCAGTGTGGTTGTTGGCAGGAGCCGGGGGAACGGGAGCTCCAGTGCCAGCGTTGGAGTTGGAGGTCTGGTCGTAGTCCATCGCGTCGGGGTTGGTGTCTGGGTTCGAGGCGGCTTCGTCCTTAACAGAGGCCTGGTCCGCGGGCGGGGCGCTGGTGGGGGGGACGGAGGTGCCTGCAACACTGGGGCTACCAGCGACAGCATCGTTGCCGAGGACTCTATGCATAACGGCGAGGTGACGCAGCCAAGAGCTGATCAGAGGCCAGGTGTCAACGCCATCCTGCATGAAGTGGAGACCGTCGCGCACGATATGCCCGGCAGTCTCGACCGCATTAGGGGGAGTGAGGCCTTTGAGAGACAGGTACGCCACGGTGGCACTGGCAGTGAAGGACGAGAACAGCATGAAGATGGGGAAGCAGATGATGCCCTCCTTGTCAAAGCCAGTCTCGAGAGCAGTGAGCATGGCGATGGTGCTGTGGCACGACGTAAAGAGCCTATCGATAATATCGTGGCACTGGGGGGTCAGGCGCCAGCTCTCCAGGTTGAAGCCAGGCGCAGTCACATACTGCAGCAGGCGGCGGCGGTTGATGAAGATGGATGCGCAGTGGAGCATGCAGTGCAGCATGGCATACGTGAAGCCAGAGCCCATGGTGATGTGAAGGTTAATCTGGCCCGGCTTGTCGACGTACTGCATCGACAGAGAAGCACGAAGGCGCTCGATTTCGCCCATGAGACCAGTGCAGACATTATCGTTGAAGGTCTCAGTGGTCGTGGTCATCAACATCTGGACAACGTCGCGCCAGATGCGAGTGGCCATGACAATTTGGCCAAACTCACCAACCTCGTCGGTACGGGAGCCAGAAGGCATCCGAGAGGGGTCGCTGAGGTTGATGGTCTGAACGTAGACAGCATTGCCAAAGGCAAAGTTCATGTCGGAGCAGGGCAGAGAGACGTCAGCCGTGTCGTTGGCAGACAAAGCCGGCTGGCGGCCGGGCGTGCTGGTAAGCAGGCAGTCGAGGATGTACAACAGCCACAACACACGGCGGAACGACTCGTCCTGAAGGAACCTATCGGCATCACTGACGGCCGCATGGTGGCTGTGGAGAATGCGGTACATCTGGACCATGCGACTGGCCTGGCCCAGGTAGATGTAGGCACGAACAGCATTGCGGGAACCCCACTCGTGGATGATGATCAGGCAGATGGCCTGGATCTCAGCGAGGCTGGGAGTGTCGAGGTTCTGGTTGATGATGCCCATGGCCTTGGCTGCAAAGTGCTCAGCAGCACCAGTCGCACCGGACTGCCCGCCATAGCGTCTAATCAAGGTGGGGGAGCTTCTGCAGGAGGACAATGGAGTTAGCCGGGTGTGTTCGTCCAGTAAAGTTCACCACTGTGCAGAGCCAGCCTGTGCAAGGCGGCGGACTGAGTCGGGCCTTAGAGACATGACAATGACCACAATAGAAACAAAGTGGTGACACTTCGGCCCAAGTCCGGACATTTGTGGCTAAGCGAGCCGACACGAGACTTCCGAACGGAAGGCCGCGCCACCCACAAAAAAAAGCCGGACATTGCGGGGGGTAAGGTAGTGAAACACCAAAATCAGGAGGGAAATTGGGATCGGGGATCGGAAGACCCGAAAGGCAGAGGTACGTACCGAGCGGCGCAGGTGAGCAGCGCGTAAATGAGGGCCGGGTCCAGAGAGGCGTTCTTGAGCTGCTGGATGAACGAAGGCTTGTGGAAAGCAACACAGGCCGGGTACGTCTTGGAAATGACGCGTTCGCATTCTTGGATCAGCTCCGGTGTAAGTCTGGCGGGGATGAGGTCAGCATTCGTGTTTCTTTTTGCGCCCGTGTTTGCGTTCGGGGGGCGTGGAACGAGATATCCATCCCGGCGACTGGCCCGGGTGAGAAGAAGTGGAGTGAAAAGTGGCGGAGGACGGGGATGTGACTCGGGAAATGAGAATGGGGAGGGGGCAGAGCGAGTAGTACGGGTACACCAAAAGGGATATTGGAAAGCTTGTGGGATCCAAGGGAAAGCCCGCCGTCAGATGGCGGCTCCGAGGGTTAGGCTAGCGGCGGTGGGAGATGCCGTCGGTTGGAGACGAAACGCCGTCTTCGGGAGATCGAAGCAATGGCAGCCAAATCTTGGGGAAAAAAGAAACAAGGGGGAGGGCACTTGGGCAGACGGAACAAAAGGGGGGCGAGGAAGAACAAGAGATGACCGCGCGTGTGTGATGGATGAGAAGGGGAACAAGCCACCGCGCCCAGGCCGCATGCAGTAGGGGGCCGAGCTCCCCCTCCCTGGTCGGCGGCGGTGGGCGGCGACACAGCCGAAAGACGAGAATAGCACACCCGGCACACGGCGCGCGCGCGCGCGCAGAAGGCAACTGAGTGCCAAGCGCAAAAGGTGTGCGCCGCGCGAGGTTCGAGACAAGGCGGCGGAGGCAGTGAAGGGGAAGAAGATGAAGATGCTAGAATGTGAAGAACAAATTGTGAAACTTACTTCTCGGGAGTCTGAACGTGACGAGACGTGGTAGAAGCCGGGTTGGCGGCGCGCACATCGCCGGCCGGGACCGAGGCAGGAAGGCTCTCACGCGCAGGGCGATGAGCGGCGGTATGACGGGCAGGCGACTGGCCATGGTGATGGGCCATGGACTCGGAGGGCAAATAGCACTCGTGCATGCCCTTGGCACAGTTCTTGCAAGGAGCGCGGCCGTTTTCGTAGACGCACTTGGTTTTGCCCTTGCGACAGCGCACGCAGGCGCCGCCGGCTCGGAGGGCGGTAGACCGCACAACGCTGGCCGACATGGTGCGGTTGTGTGTGAGGTTGTGTGTGAGGTGGACGTTGGTGTCAAGTGGATGAGATGCGAACCAGTGCTGATGATCAGTAGCGGCGTGTCGCTGGATGATGGAACTTTTCTCTCTTTTTTTTTTTTTCCTGCAGAGCAGAGAGTGCGCCGACGACAAGATGAGGGCGGTAGGTAGGGTTTGTGTGGTGAAACCCGGATGCGCGTGTGTTCAGCCGGAGGTGGATGAAAAGACGCGACGCGATGAGCTTCTTGATCCACCCAAGGTAGGTAGAAGTAGAAGAATCTTGCTTGGTTTATGGGATGATGTCGTGATCCCAGTGAGGCGACTTGTGACGTCCGCAAAAGTCACACGGCGATGGTCGGCGTCAGAAAGCCGGAGAGTCGACGAGGTGAAGTTGAAGAAAGGAGGAAAAAGAAGGGAGAGTTCGGGGGTGTCAGGGTCGCGGGAGGAAGAGTGTTTTGTTGAGGGGGGCTCCGGAAGAGAAGAGGGTTTTGGGGCCGGGTGACGCAGAGAAAAGACGACCCGTCGCGCCGAGATTATGGAGAAGGGTGGCTCCAGAAAGGCGAGACCCCCAGGCAGGAGGTAGCGGGCGAGGGCGGGCGGCGGCGTCAAGGCCCCAGGAAGGGGGGGCAGAACGCGACGGGGGGAGCTTGCGGGAAGATGCCCACAGCGGCCGATGAGACGACGGTCAGAATTGATGCCGGGACGGTGTCGGAAGCGGTTGGTGATGTTTGATTTTTGTGTTGAAAGATGTGAGAGTTGCGGTGATGTTGAGCGTTGGAAGTTGTGCTGGACGCGGTGGACAGTGGAAAACGAAAAAAAAGAGAAGAATCGGAGGGCACGGGTCGGCCGCGATTTCTCGGTGGTGGGCGAAAAATCCGGGCGGTGGTCCTCAGGTTTCGGTGGTTGGAAGAGGAGGAAGGAAGGAGTGGAGTACGAGGGAGGGGAGGGGTGGGGAGAGGATGGGGGAGGGGGTGTGACCTGTACAGTACGTATTCCCGTACTCTACCGTACCTTCAGGCAGGTACCTACTCCGTGGATAATGTGAGGACGGGAGGAGGGCACGCCGCACGGAGGGCAAGCGGGGGAAGGAAGTGTCCGTACCTTCAGTCACCTTACCTTACCTTAGGTACCTACCAAGAAAAGAGGAAATATCAGACTGGACATCTGATTTAAAGACAGCAGGAGCAGAATCAGGAAGGGACCAACTCGGGCGAAAAGCACAAAGTGGTGGAAAGGCAGGCGGAGGTGGACGACCTGAGGAAAGAGCAAGAGGGAACCGGCACACGGGTTACGGGACGTGGACACGGGGGAAGGAGGCACACACGGCGTGCCCAAGGTAAGGAAAGCGGGCGGGCCTCGGCCTCGCATTCGTTGCAACAGCGCACTCGACTCCCTGACTTCCATCCTTCCTCTCTCTGCCTCTTTATTCTCGCCATATATTCTGATTATTTTATCATCCCGTTCCAACTGCTCCTTTCATTGCCTTGACCCGAACACAAGTGGAGGAGACGGAACAAAACTGAAGGACGATGCCTTGCGCCCCGAACGAAACGGACGGATGTCGCCAGATGGTCGTCCCCACTGAGGGCTGGCCAAGCTCGGTGCGGGTTAGGAAGTCACGGCCTGCGGAAGCGGGAGCAGTCGGCGGACTTTTTTGGGAAGGGACAGGGTGGTGGAAAGTGCCAAAATGAAAAAGGTGAAAGACTAAAGAGTGAGGAGGGCTGAGGATAGGGGGTGTGTGCGTAGAGAACAATCCGAGGGGAAATGGAACAGTACGGGGACACAGGTACCTGGCATTTCCACAACCTCGGAGGCAGGCGCGAAAAAACAGCGTTCGGGAAAAAGGCAGAGGCAGAGGCAGAGTGACAGAGACACTGCACAATGAACAGGCAAGAAGGGAGGGGAGGACAGGACAGGACAGAAAATGAGAAAGCAGGAGCTGCCTGGGCCACCTGCCTCGCCCACACACGGGCGGGCCTGAGGTTCCTCCTTTGCTGAGGTTTTACGGGCGGATCGGCTGGTGGTGCCGGAGCTGAATGAGGAGAGACGGAAGGAAACCAGGAGCGAGGGGACCCACTCTGCCCATTCTGCCTTCCGCGTCAATGTCCGTCGCACATCACCTCAGGGAGGTACATGTCCGGTACTCACCAGCCCAGACACGCACTCCCCAAAACTCAAGTACCGCCCTCTGCCCTCTCTTCGGCTCTCTCCTTCCAGGTTCCAGGTTGCCCGTGTGAGTGTCTGCCTTCCCTCCAACTTCCGTCGAATCGGTACCTGCCTCAGCGTCTGCGCGCTTGCGTTGCCTGACACGCTTCGCTGCCCTGCCGACACCTGCACCCCCGCGGCAGGCACCTGCCTCGAGCCTCCCCCCTGTGCTTCCATTCTTCCATTCGATCTTGATGAGAAGGAGCGACAATGAATGTGTAATTGTGTTCCTCCCCTTCTTTGCTATCCATCGTTTGCCTCTTTTTCCCTATCTCTTCTCAAACCTTTGAGAAGCTTCACTCAAAGATCATGACATTTCCGATATTTCTGCCCAATCCACAGAGGCGCAAATGAAGTCCGCCCAACCCCAGCCCGGCTGTCGCCCGAAAGCCAAAACGATGCGCATACTTCGTACAGTCTCGACACAGTGCCTGCGGCATACTTCCCCGACACATTTCGCGTCTCGCATCCATCCGTCCTCTGCCTCCGCCGCCGACCGGTCGCAATCCCGTTTGTTTGCAAGCCCAGCGAATTTCATCACCGTCCGTCTTGTGGGCAGACCGTTCCTCCGTCTCACCATGTTCCCTTGCGACCTGCGCCGCCAATTCTACGACAAGCAATGCGCCCATCTCCCGCAAGCTTAAGTCGGATACCTTCAAAAGACGACTCTACTCCTGTACTGATACCACGACCAACACGACAATAGTCTTGGCTGACACTGCGTCCCCCTCCTCCGAGCTTGCCTTTCGGACCCGACCAGTCCCAACGAGCCTTCATCACACTGCCCTGCGATTAAGCCGGGCCCGCCGATTGCTACAGCGCTTTCGCCTCGGCAGCACAGAGTCACGAACCCTGCCAGACCCGCGGCACGCCGGGCATTGGCCCACACCGCAATGAGAAGGGACGGCCAGCGCAATCGGGCCATGTCCACCTGGCCTGACTTGCACCTTTCAGCAACAGAGGTAGCCACAGCCTACGGAGTACAGGCCACAGGGCAAGAGGACCGCGGACGAGAATGATGGCGAGGCACAGAATGCCATGGTCCATGGCCCACGGGGGTGTGGGCGACAAACACCGCCGGGTGGGCCTGGAATCGCCGCGCCCCCCTGGTCCTAGAGTCGGTATCGCACCCTCTTCCAAGTACGGAGTACCTTTCTTCCTCTCCTTGGTGCTTGTCCCCAAATTCCACGGAGCGCCAAAAACCAACCGGCGGCTACAGGGCCACGCCAGCTTGTCCGTCTCTGACCATGATCATCGCGCCGCCAACTTCCAACGGAAGATTGACCCCATCCCGAATTTGATTTTCGCAGACACGGCGTGACGGCGCGGCAGGGCGCTTTCGTTGGACGCTGCGCTCGTGCCTTTGGACACTTCTTTGACGGCACGGCCTCTAGCGATCGAGATGAAGAGGGGCCGGAGATGCAGCAGCAAAACTGTAATTTGCTCGATGGGCTTCTAACTGAACCGACGCTATACGCTCTGCTGCGCGGAGCCGATGCGCTTCTTATTATGATTTAGGGAGCACGTAGGCGTGGTCCTCCCGACTATAGCAGTTCTCCAAAGGCGCATTTTCCGGTTGAGTCCCTCCAATGCCAACTCGTCCATGTCGTCGTCAATACTCTGCCGATTTGCAAGTCCAGACACCGTACCTCTGCACATGATCAAGATGATGCTGCAGTACGTCTCTGGTATGTGGGATAGCCAGTCCACGGCTCGTCCCGGCCATCGGGCTGGCCTGGAACACACGACTGGCACGCTGGCCGAGGGTCGACTCGGCTGTTGCTTCTGTGCAATCACTGCAATGTGCACGAAAGACTGTGCCAGCAAAAGCTGCCGCCTCGTCCGGGTCTGCTGCACTTGCAAGCTGTTCCGTCTTCGCTCCGGTGGCATCCCACCCAGCACGCCCTCGCCCCCAGTTTTCGCCATGGAGCAGCAATCCCGAGGAAGTCCAGCGCCATCTCGTTCCGGCGACGCGCCAAATTTCTGTTTAATCAAACTCGACCTGCCCGGGCCTGCACCTGGGCCCTTTTCCCTCGCTCGTTCCCCGTGCTGAAGCGGACTTGCACAGTCGACGCCCCGCCCCACCCGGCCGTTTCTTCGTTTCTGTCCGTATCACCAACATTTTCTGCAGCAAAGGCATATTACGGCATGCCCACTGTGTCTTACATCAGGTTGCCACTACGTCAGGGAATGGATATCAGGATATGCACGGCACAAAACCGACGTTGGCTACCGTACGTCTGGGAGCCACCGAGCCAGGTACAGAGGGTCAATCAGTTGACACTACCTCTTTCTGTGACATCAGGTACGGATACAATGCCCTTGTGCACTGTCAGTGGTCACTATGCCGACTACGCGGCCAAGCCGGATCTCTGATGCCTTTTCACAGTCGTCAGGTATACGTCGTACAAACACGCGACATCTGCTTCCTCGCTGCCGTAGGGGGCGCAAAAATCAAAGAACACAGTGTGGTATAGCCGGTGGGCGGGTCGCGAAACCTTTCCCAGTGCATGCTCTGGTTCATGGGGCCTCTCTTCAGGGCTGGTCAGGCTCTGCAGCGCTCTACGCGCAAAAGGAAACAGCCTGATGTCTCTAGAGCACTGCATTGGATCTCGCTACGTTCCTCTCTTTCGGCTGGGGAAGCGCGTTATGTCGCATTTGTTCTGCGGAGCGTCTGAACACTCCTCTCCCGGTGACCGAAGAAAAGCCTAATCCAGACTTCTCGGCAGATATCCAGACGGGGCTGGCGGCTGCCGTTGATATCCACCCTTTCGCGCGTCTTGTTCCGATTTATTCCTCGGTTGACGAGAGACGCGACATTGGATACCGGTTCTTGATTGCATTCTCTGGAGCATCTGTATCCCCCCGTTCCTTGGCGAGATGCTTCATTCGTGCGACTTCGGACATGGTTCTGTGAGCTCGCGGCCGAACTTCTGGGGGGTGGTCTTCCTCTCTGGCGCCGACTCGCCGTAGTGTTGCCGGCAAACCTGCCCAGTGCGGATGGTTCCCTCGCTACGCACCCCCGACCCGGCGCGTGCCAGTTCACTTCAGCCCAGCGTGCCGGTCCGCGGCACAAACAAAACGAATTTTGAACACTTGCTCCATAAGGTACGATCTGTTACCGAAGCAGCCTGATCTGAAACCCAACATCCGACACACTGCACGCAATTGTGTGACCTCAAAGTCTCTCTCCAGAAACAAACGAACGTTTGCTGCAGCGTAGCACTGTCTTATTGATGGTCTGCTGATTTTATCGTCATGCCATGGCTAAGGCCCCAAAGCCCAGTTCCAGAGAGTGAAAAAGAGAGCGCGCGCGAGCAGCTCGCTACAGTGCGCTATTTTCCACCGGCTGAAGCACTGCGAGGCGAACGGGTCAAGGCTTCGAGAATTCAACAGACTGTGCTCCGTACAGTGTAAGCTGATGTCGCTGACGACGCCAGGCTGTTTTCTCCGTGAAATCCGGAGGTTGCGTCCACTTTTCCTGCCCCTGTCGTCTCCTACCGGAACCTCTGCCCAGCGCTACCATGCCCGGAGTTGATGTCATTTCGCACCACACCTCCGCCTTGGTGTCGCTCTTCTGCGCCGTATTGTCTTGAAGAGATGCACGTTGGTCCGGCGCTTCTGCTCCCTTGTCTCTTCTGTCCCCCGAGTCTCGCAAACGGCCACGGGCAACTGAGTGTGGTACCGGTAGGTCTTTCACAGGATTGACATGATGGTACCCAGCCTCCTGTAAACGCTGTCACCTCTGTCTTGTGGGCATCAGAACAAAAGTTGGAAAGAATGGATCAACCGTTGAACCGGGTCGCTTGGTGGAATGGGAGCCGAGGGCAGCGCATACATACACCCCGGAAGACCATCGACGGTCCGCCGCGGTCAGATCTACTGGGCTGATTACCATTACCAAAGCTGGTGAATCAAACCAGACGAAACAATGGCATTTCTCTGTCTCTCACACGACCGGCGATCAGTGCACCGACCAGGGTGGGTGGCGTTTTGGCCTTACGGCCTTGCGGCACATTGGAAGGGTGGAGCCTTCTTCCGGAATCACTTCCGCCGGTTTCCGGACCACCGGCGCCTGGCGAGATCCACTCGGTGAAGCTGAGACGCCTGAGAGGCTACACCGATCCCCCGCAGCCGAGCAATCAAAGTCGCTCAAGTCCGCGGGACCACAGCGCGTGACGGCAGCAAGCGACGTTCTGGTTCGATTTGTCTCCTGTTTTGTTTTTCCAGTAAATCTTTGGTGATGGACTCAGATGAGTATCGGTAACAGGGAAATCAAGGCCACGGCGCGGCATGGCAAGACCTCACATCACCTCACTCGCGACCTCGGGATTGGTTCCACAATGTACGGCCGAAGAAACTCCCGTTCCCGTGTGTGGCACCATCCGCTGCCGCCCTCCTAGGACCTTGAAAGCAACAGCCAACAACCAACGACGGCCAAGAGAATCTCGGAGTTTGAACGGCATTCTTGTTTTTCGCACCCCTGCCAATCGCACTCTGAAGCGGATGTCGTACTCGGCTGATCTGTGACGTATAGAGTGGCTCTGTCCCCCGCAACTTTGATTACTGGAAACTCTCGTCGCTTTTGGCTGTTCCGGCTGCAACTTTGGCCGCTGGAACGGCATCAAAAGTGCAGCCATGAAATGTAGGTCCAGCGTGTTAGAGGATACTCAGGCCATCAATGGAGGAGCTGCTTGTGAGAGTATTGCACCAGACCATGATCCCAAGCCTCAGAATTAACTAGCTGATCGGCGATAAACACCAAGGCCGATAGTGGACTACCTTATGTGGGGCCATCCAGAGGTTAAGATTGCTCGGCCCCTCCGGCACCCGCCCGGATATGTCAGCGGGATCCTGCTGACCTCCGTTCTCCGACAATACCGGCACTATCAGCAATCGTTACCGTAGCATACTTCACTAACGGCTGATTAAACACCATTGAATCGGCGGCTGGTCTCCGTCTCACAGCCTATCTCTACGGAGAATGTCAGCAACGATCATCCGATTCGGTCGAATAAACTCCGTACACCACATCTTTCGGCCGACAGCGGGCTCCCCAGCTTACCTCCCATCGCCTCACATCCTCAACTGGAAGACTTCCCACACCCTAATCGTGACATAGACCGACTCGCAATGCGTTCCGCCAAATTACCTATAAAAGCTGGGGCAGAAGCACTTTGACTATTACCACCAGACACGTGCCACGCCCAGAGATAGAAAGTGGGAGCTGCAATCTTTCTACTTGAGATGTACCCAATACCATTAAACATCAGATGAGGAACAGCGCTCCGGGATATCCGGGTTGAGCCGGCGATATAAGTACCGACGTTCCGTCTATCTACGAGAATCTTCCCTGTACCCTCGTATTATATAAACGGACTCTTGAGTACGTTCGTGAGTTTGGAGAGAGTAAAGAATTCGACTTACCGTAGATAGGATGAATCTTTTTGAAACAAAAAGATAATTGTCTGATATGGTGCAGTATTTAACTATAAAATCTATAGAATATACTCTCGGTCCCTACTCAACTTGATAGGATTGTTTTACTATAAAACTTATTGTACCAAGCGCATAACCCAAATCGAACTTCGGCTGAGTCTAGCTCCGTGTCCAGAGCAACGTCAATACAGACAGAGTTTACGGTAAGAAGAAAATGATTTCCCCTAACCTAGACAGTATTATGGAAGGGCCGAAGAATAAAACAAAGAATAGAGTAGTAGTAAAAGGTGAGGCTATAGCCAGGCACCGTTGGTATCGATGATTGAAGTAGTGGCTACAAGCTTCTCCCATAACTCATCGCCAATACCTAGTGTGTTCTCCTTCTTACCTCTTTTATCGTTCTTCGTCTGACCTAGTTCCTTTGATTGCATCCCGTACGCCTATCACCAGTTCCTTCCCTATTCTCCGTACGCGTGCGCCTTGTTAGTCCCCTTCTACTGTGCGCCATGCGCTATACAGTTGTGAGCGTTCGCCTTCTTGCCCGCTTCAGGATATTCAGCTCCAGGCTGCGCCAATGGGCTGATGACGGAGACTAGTGCGGCCTACTTATAATAGTACTTGAGTGCCAGTTCAAAACCCACTAAACCCTATGAGTGTCTTGCTTACAAACCTAAGCTAGTTTCATTGTCTCGAGAAGGCTAAAAGCACAAACCGCGAGGGAACACGGCAACGTCTTCCAGATCATCATCTTCATCACCTGTACTGCTCCTGACAATGGCCACCCCCGGCCCTCATCGACGAGACCAAGCTCAAAATCTAGCGAGCAAGACTATAGCGGAGCTCGCCGGGATTTTGAATGAGGCTCTGCTCTCTTCGGCGGAAAGCCTGCCTGGAGCAACGTACATTTGTCCTCCCGCATCTCCAGAGGACATAGAAGCGCTCAAGAAACGAGTAATTGACAAAAATGGTCACTGCGCCCTAGACCCAGACTACGTGACGTTCCTCACAGTCAGCGACGGATCCAAGCTTCAAGGACCGGAGCAGGAGGACTCGGGAGATGACCTGAGTGGCCTTCTTTACAATGCGGCTCGAGTTGATAAGGAGGAACACGTGGACTTTGACCTATTCGGAGCGAATCCCCTTCTGCATGCGCCATCTAGAGATATTTGGAAGAAGTTCGACTGGGACAGCGGGGTAGGTGTCGACTTAGGCCCGGCTGGCGACGAAGGGAGTCTCTGGATGTTTGGTCCGGCGGAGCTGGCGCTTCTTCTTCGGCGGTTCGATGAGATCTATCCTACGCTCACAGAGGATGAGAAGAAAAAGCTCGATAGAGCCGTCTTGGAAACGCATGGTAGTGTGGAGGCGATGAGGGAGCTCCGGTTTTCTGTCATGCAGTTCTATCATTGGTCGCCAAAGGTCAAGTTGCATTTAGGGTTTCGGGCGTACCTTCAAGACCTTGCAATGATGGCTTTGGCGGGCGAGGATCCCCATGAGTACTTTCTGTGCTAAGATGACTAATTGGACTGAAATTTATTGATGAACATGCGTGCAAGATGCCATCCCCTGAGGGGCGGAAAACCTTCAAGGCTCAAATACACCACCAAATGCATTCTATATCCAGTTCCATTATGCTTTATCAGTGCAAGTTCACTAGCAGAGTCCTCATATCAAAGCCTGATCCTAAAGAGCTAGGCTTCTCTCTCCGCTTCTGCCCATCTGACTTGTCTGTATGACATGGCCTCATACACGGCCCACAAGTCCGCAAAGGTGACACTGTTTTAACATAGCACAAATCAGTGTCAAGACGCGCGCGTATGGTTGGAGGCAAACACACTTACGGCAATGACTACACATAGATGCCCTCAACCTTCCATCAAGGTCCCCAGTCAACGTCCTTAGGGACCTTGCGCGACAGCTGCCGGATGAGCAGTATAAAAGCCCGCTGCTTCCTCGCTACAGTCTGCCAGCATCCCACCTCCGCATGCCTCCGAGACTCGAAGGCTTTGTCTCGAAACCGTAAGTACTTATGTATCTTCAAATGCCCAGAGAAGAACCTGTTCTGCATACAAATTAACCCATTTTTTTCAGATTACCAAGTTCTTTCTCACTCTCATCACTAAGAGAAAACAGGCTTAGACCTCCAAATTCGTTGGATCAAGAGATGTCAGTTCAAGCCTAGGCACGCAACACATCCGCGCTTAAGCACGAGGTAGACCTACTATCGCCCCTGGTATCTGCCTCCTTCTCTGGGCTCAAGTACATGTAAAGATCACTGGACGATATAGACTTAGGTATCTATAGAATATCACTCCTCAATGTTGATCGCAGCACGACATCTTTACCACGCTCGCGATCTGCCTGCTTTGTGAAGCGATAGAATTTGGCCATTGTTTTATTTGCTTTTGACTAACCTATGAATTGACTGGCTACAGCAAAGTCACGAATAAATCAGACTTCAAGGAGAAATTTGTATGCAGCTTCTACAATGGACCGCGTCAAGCAGTTCCTCGCCGTCAAGATACTAGGCCGTATCACCGGCCCGAAAAAGGCAAAACCGGAACACGACACTGACGTCGACGTCAAAGACAACACCAAAGTCGAAAGCAAAGCCGATCCCCGCACGCGCTACCACGACTTCGCAACCCAAACACCTCCAGGCCCTAAACCACCAAGACCAAACAAAAAGGGATGGAATTTTCGCCGCGAAGCCGAATTCCCCTGGCGAATCGAGCAGCTTGTCGACCAAGAAGAGAACTGGCGTGGGACCTGGGTGCTGGAAGTCAAGGATATGCGGGCGTTGGAATGGAACACTGAGTTCGTGCCCAAGAGTGACCGGAAGGGAAAGGGAGGGCGGTATCGGAGGCAGCCGACGAGGCATTTTCCGTTTCCTATTGACGGGGATAGGAATGGGAATAGAGAGACGCTGGGGGGAGGGCAGGATGATTTGATGATTATGCTTGGGAAGTCGTAGGGGGTGACATTGGATACGGGCACTTCTAGTAGGATATCTGGATGTTTTAGAGCGGAATTCGTTTGCTCAGTCTGCGATTTCTACCTCCCAAGTTCTCTTATTAGCGATAGTGTGTCAATGCCAGAATGATACAACAGGAATTAGATTATCAATAGCTTAACAACCACCTCGCCTATAACGAAAATCGACTCATGCAAATGGAGGCAACTCGAGGTGATAAAAAGTGAATGCGGTCAAAGTCAGACGGCGATGTTTCTGCCAGGGCGTGCATATCTTTGTCTGCTACGTTGAAGAAAGCACCTGTAAAGGTAATGTAAGAACCGTGTGCAAGCATACAGATGCTTGCTTAGTTTATAATGTCTTTGAGGATCTTTTCCCTGTCGCAACTGGATTCTTCCTGTGCAAGTCCTGGACTACGGAATGCCACGTCAATACGAAGAGAAATATCGTTGCAGGTGAGTTAAGAGAAAGTCAAAGGCAGATGGTCCTGAAGGAACGTAGTGAGAGGGATTCACTCAGAGTCAGAGTCAGAGTTATCGGTAACGTAGGTGGGGACTCCGTAAGGAGCTGGACAGAGAGATCCTTCCCCGAGTTCGGCTTGGTTCCTACGCCCCTCGAACGATACGCTGAGGAATACGAGCGGGCTGACGACACGGAAGGAAGAGGCTCTGAATACTTCCATTCAGACCACCTATACACTGTCATTTGCAGGTTGACGGACAGAGCTTCGGGATATCCGAGTTGGAACGGCTATATTAGGGCCGACACCCCGTACATACACAGGATTCTCCTCAGGGCTTCTGGCTTCCAGTCGGTTTAATGGTCTTGCCGATACGAGGTGGCCTGCACACCTTACTGCGAACATGCTCCACCAGGGTCACAAGCGATCGGATACCTAACGGCACATGCAATATGGCGCTGCTGGTACCAGTCCAATCACCAATCGTCCATGTATCATTACCATCTACGGGAGAGCGGACGCTTATGCGGCTGCGGTCCCGCAGTCCTAGCACAGTAAATGTCGACGAGCACCCCCGCACTTCCGGAGGCCGGGCGGCAATGCCGGTGGGGGTTAGCCTTTTCATCCTAAAACCTGGGGTAAATCCATGTCGAAGTCGCTAGGACGGTGAACTGTAAACCAGCAACGCCGACCAGGTCGTCGAATGGCGGGAAATCCGATGCTGTTGTGACGGTCCATCGCGGAGTCGGGATAACTAGAAGATCATGGGAAACATCGCAATACATACAAATTTCGACGAATTCTCCTCCATCTATGCGTGTCTTGTTTACTCCTGTCTCGGGAACAGACACGGGGCATTTGCATATTCCCTGTGAAAATGGGCTCATTCATCACCAATGCCATGCAGGCACTCTCCTCCCGCATCGTGAACGCTGTAACTTCCAACCCGACAGCCTCTCTGATCTACGTCATCCTCACGACGACAGTGGCCCTATCTCTCTGGACGAAAACGACGAGTGGAGCAAGCGGGCTACCTTTACCGCCTCAACCGCCCTCAAAGCCGATTCTGGGCCACTTGACGGATTTGATCAGAGAGAATAAAGCGCGGCGATGGCACTTGAAGCTGGAAGGGTGGGCGAGGGAATTTGGCCCTATTTTTGGGGTGAGGACGGGGTATATTGTTGATTATTATATCAATTCTGATGTTCTCGTCAAGGTAAGCTTGTAACTCTTTCGAGCTGACCGTGGAAACGCCAAAAGGCGTGTGTTTGTCCAGAGGGGATTATTGTGCGAGACGGCTAGGATTCTAACAATGAGAACAGGAGCTTTTCGATAAAAAGTCCGCGGTAACGGCGGATCGACCCGTATGGATCATGTCGAATGAGATATTGAACAATGGGTTTAATACATTATTCTTAGATGCGAGTGATCCAACTTGGAAGGTAAAATATCTTGTGATCTCTTGTTGAACGATGCTGACTGAAACTCCCGATGCCTGTAGAACCAGAGGAAGGTGATTCAGCAGCTTCTCACGAGCCCCCAACAAGCGGGGAAGATTGTGCCGTAAGCTATCTTTCACTTCCGATTCCGCTACCCTACTCATGCAGTGGTCTGACGGCATGCTAGGTTTCTAGAATACGAGACAATGAGGTTCCTTCGCGATAACGTTCTCGAAACGTCAGGCGGACTCTCGGGGCGTCAGCTCTTGAGAGGTATTGAGAGGTATACGTATAGCGCATTCGCGATGGTGATTATGGGCATGGATGTGAGATATCGCCTAAGACTTGTGTTGTAAAGGGGCAAGGTGTTGACTGGGGTCTGTTGCAGGTGTCCGACGCAAACGACTGGGTTATCGACTTTCTCCAAGGTGTGTGAAGATCCGCAATGGGCTTCCCGAGGTGCTTAAGACACTTGCTGACGGTCTTGACCGCAGAATCGGAATATCAAATTATAAGTACGCCCGCCATCTCTAATACTTGCTGCAAAAGCCACGTCTTCGAGTAGACTGACAATTCGCGGCAGATACCTTCCCCGGCGCCAATATCATCGATCTCATCCCTTCTTTGGGAAACTTACCTCTCTTTCTCAAGCCCTGGGAGAGACATGGGCGCGCAAGATACAGACGTGACCTCTCATGGGGAATGAGACGAGTCAAGGTGAGGCCAAACCAGGAACCCGTTATACTCAAGTATTGAGACATGCCTTGAGCATACAATTGACTGATAATCCGGCGGTAGACTGTCGAAGAGGCAATGAAAAGCGGAGATACCTCCTTCGACGGGACCTTTCTGGGTGCTGCTCTAGCCGATGATAATACAAAGGGCATGTCTTGTAAGGAAGAGCTCGCGATTTTAAGCACTGCTTTGATTGTTGCTTCAGCAGATACTGTGAGTAACTCTTGACACACACCGTATCCTGGCTCTTGAATTCACTGCCGAACTGCAATCTGATAGCTGACACAAACCCCTAGAGCCGGATGACGACGTGGTCTTTCGTTGAGGCCATGCTGCAGTTCCCCGAAGCTCAGGCCCGAGCACAAGCTGAGATAGGTACGTGAAGAACATCAATCTCCACATTGTTGACCACACAATGGCCACTCTCCTGGAAACCTCGTTCGCTAACCAGCTGATGCCTTCTAGACAAGGTTGTCGGCGATAGACCACCAACATACGAAGACTATGCGCGAATTCCATACATCCGCATGCTCCTCAAGGAAGTATGGCGGTGGAGGCCACCGGTGGCGCTAGGCCATCCTCACATCACCTCACGGGAGGTGGAGGTTGGGGAATACAGGCTTCCCAAGGGGGCACGAATTCATCTTAACGCATAGTAAGGCCGAGTTTCCTTGTCATGAGATTGAAATCTTGTCGCTGACTATGGGGTAAAGTGCGATCAGTCGAGATCCCGTGAGACACGAAGATCCTGATCGGTTTTGGCCGGAGAGGTTTGAGGATGACGAGACTACTGTGAGTACCTCAATGTGGATCTCGAGGTCAAGCCAGAACTGATACGATTTTCTAGACGATGGAAAGCATCAATGCGCAGGACCCGACAAAGAGAGACCACTTTGCCTTCGGCGCCGGTCGTCGCGTTTGTACGTTACAATATCTTTGCACCTCCGCCTTCTACCTATCCTACCTCGCCAAACTGACTCACCACTGACATCGATTGCGCGTGAAAAGGCCCCGGATACACCGTCGCAGAACGTTCCGCCGTCGTAACAATGATGCGTATCCTCTGGGCATTCAAAATCTTGCCTGCCGAGGGAGCCAAAACGCCGTTGAAATTTGCCGATTACGCTGATTCGTTGCCTGGAAACCCGGGGAAGAATATGCCTGTGAGATTTCAATGTCGGAGTGAGGAGAGGAAGCGTGCGATTCTGAAGGCTTTCGAGGAGATGGAGAGTGGAAGGGGCAAGAAGGTGAGTTTTCTAAGCTCATGTCCTCACTGGTCGTTCTTCCGGGGAGGGCACAGGCTGACTTGATTGCATCTAGATCGCATTGAATTTGGGCGAGTCATCGATTCCTGATGTTTCTACTTTTCTTTGATCTCTGAAGAAAGGAAAAGTCCAACGGATTGTGAGCGAACTAGGACGGGCGGAAGAGTTGTTGTACAGGCAGGGTTCATGTTTCTTCGACTGAACTAGGTAGAATGGGGCTGCTGCAAGGGTACAAAGACTAGCTACTTTGTTTGAGTTCTTCATTCTAATTTTGTCCTCACTGACAAAACATGACATGATCATATGAGATGGCAAGGTGATGTGGCGTTTGAAGTATGAGGGGTTGCTCGCCTACAACGAAGTCGTATCGCTCGAACCAAGTTCCGTATTCTTTGATTCGTATTCCTGAGTTCCGTTCTAGATCCTCCACGAAAAGGGAAGAGACTCCGGCTGGGATAATTTCAGCTACGCCAAAGAGTCGTCTGCCACTTTGAGAACTCTTAACTGCTGACTGCGGGAGCTATTCTCTGCTGGGCAAAGAACCTGACTATCCCAATTCTTCTAGTTCAAAGTCGGACGGTTACGTAGTCACAGCCCGGGTTTCTGGTGTTTTTGATAGTGGTTGCTGTAATTTGGCGTCTGGACCACTTCCTTCGCCGTACATTGAATCTACATAGTCTTTGAAGACCGTTAGTCGTCAGTGAAACTATTTCAGTATAGACTGAAGCTGTCAGCGACACAATCAATGATAACGTCGGGCGCCACCTAAGCCCCGTTGCATTTATTTGAATGATATAACCAACTAATGTTTTAGGTGTTCTCACTCCGAGATAGTTCTGTCGTTGTCGCTTCCTGAAGTTCCACCATGTCGTGGTAACCCAACGAAATAGATGGCGGATGTAGCTACAGTGCTGACCCAATGCGGTGTAACGCTCCCCACAGGAACCAGGGTATCTCTCCCTTGACTGCGTCAAGAAACTTTAGTTTCTGAACAGTGAACCACTCACTTCACATACTTCAAGAATCAGCACCGCGTTGCTTGAGCAGGGACGAAAGAGGTGACTACCTTAAATCGTAAAGAGGCAACTTGGAACCGAGCGCGCTGTTGTTGGAATCAGGCAACCCTTTCTAGGATCATATGTTAATCTGATGAGGAGCTTATACGTATAGGGCCTACGGATGACGGCGTAGAGGCGTAAGTGACAGCGTCTTCATTGTTTATAAGAACAATACCATTCTCAACTGCCTGTCCATATGATCTGTAATCAGCCAATGCTTGAGTTACTCAGACAATCACCTCAATCGACTCCTTCAACCGGACAAAATGAAATTCTTCATGGCAGCCCTGTCCTCCCCTTCATGGCCGACGCCCCCCTCGCCCAGCGTTAGATCTGCCCGGCCTGAGCGCCATACACCGACAACGGGCGCGAGTCTCCGTTACCTATCGAATCGAAGTGAAGCTGGTACGCTTTTTGCGGCAATTACTTTGGACCCAACTCTCCTGTACGATGACCCTTCTTCAGTATGAATTTGTCTAGCGCGCATGACTGACCGTATGAAAGCTGTACACTGGCCGTTGCGATAGAAATAGCGTGAACACTGATATTAGATTTTCTGCATGCGTGGTTATCAACTAGATAGTCCAGGTCATCATGGTTGTGTGGTGAGGGTCATATGTAGGAGCTTGACGGTCACCAGCTGGTGGTAGTACCTTGATAGCGACGCGAAACCATTCTCCGTTGCACCCACTATTTCCCTGTTGTTTAACTCCCAATTCGTTAAAACGGAGACTGGCAAAGAATTCGACTTTTGCCGTGCGGCAGTATATCTCATTCCAATCTGTATCGGAGATTAACTCGTCTTGTCTTCCATAAAGATCATGAAGGATGTAAGTGACCATTAGTCATGTTATGTCTTATTCTTTCCTGAACACCAACACATACCCTGAAGAGCCTTTATTGCATCAACTACAGTAGGTTTGAAATCGAGGACAATCCTATCTCTAGTATCAAACACATGAGAAGACGTCACGGCATCTGGATTGGAGGACAAGCAGCCCCTCATACTCAGCATGGACTCAATGGGGATCACCGGAGGTCACAACGTCCTCAACGAAAGAATCATCACATTCCAGGGTCCCGAGACGATCGCCAAGAATGGCTCTTCGGACTTTTACACCGGCTATCATGATCAGTCAGTTGGGAAATTAGACAACGACGAAATGAGGAGCAATGCATCTTATACAAGCTCCCTCGCGAGATTGTACTCGGGATAATCCACCACCTCGAGCCCATGGACATCTATCGACTTCGCCATACATCGCGGGAGTTCTTACAACTGACATCGGTGAAAGATTTTCGGACTATTCTCGAACTCACTAGTGCCCAACAGCTCCAACAATTGATGCAGGCAGTCTTGAGTGCTCCGAACATCCCACCCCGCTTCTCGCAGCCAGTATTGTTCCGGCCTTCCTTTGACAAGCTTGTGGAAATTAAAGAGTTGCGCAGAACCGAGCTTCTGTGCCAAATGTGCAGCGAAAACCGCGGCCGGCCTGTTGTTGGGGGCGCGGCTTACGACTTGAGACAACATTGCCTGGGACTTTCAGATGAGACCAGAGAGGACTACCACCACCGCTTGTACTCGATGGAAGCACGTAACAATGCGTTATGGCGCGCATTTGGTAGATCGGAGCACCCGCCAAGATTGCGACCTTATTGTTACGGTTGCGAGACGGGACACGACTTGGCCTATTTCTCCAGTGATCAACTCAGTCCTGATACTGATCACCGCATTTGCATTGGCCACGAAGAAAAATTGAAACTATGTTCGCACGTTCAGATCTCCTGGGCGGAACTCTGGACACATGTGGCAACCTACAACTCCGAAGAACCAGGATGGAAAACCATCAAGGCAATATTCCAACGAAGCCCATTCTCAGATTACCCAGCATGCGCACAAAGAGTTGGACAGCATGGGAAGGCCCCCGCAATAATCTATGCGCCAAAAAAGCTTCAACACCGCTATACTCCCGGTGACTCCTTCTTGAATTTTGAGTTGGGCTGGAAGCTCGTAGTCTTGAACTTGAGAGAGGGAGAAGTTGTGACGAAAGAGCTTCTTCGTCATGCTCTGAGCCGATTGCAAGAAAGCTTTGGCGATTTCTGCTGCCCTCATCTGATGTTTACAGACACAGCATTCATGGCGCCGTTTAGTTGGCACCTCTGCGTGTGCTTCAGGGAGGCAGGTGCATATAATCCCCAGCGACAATGTCATCAGCATACCATCACGAGAGCTGACAGGGAGTGTTGCGCATGCTATGCTACACATCATCCCAATCTCAGAGGAACGTTCATGGCACACGGCACACTTCCCTATCTGCCCCGAGGTTCCACGCATGTGGCTAGCTGTAAAACCTATCACTTTGAATACGTTTGGAGATTGGAAGAGTCTCGAATTACTCTAGAAGGGCAGAAAACAGTGAAAGTAAAGGATTTCAACAAATGGGATACGGTGCGTTGTTGGGAAGAAAGTATAGATCCTACGACTTATCGAAGAGATGAAGGAACCAGGTACATTGAATGGTGCGAGGACGTAAAGTGCCCCAACTCGAAGGGCCCGCGGAGAGATGATTCGTTCTTCTGAAAGAAAATGGTGACATTATGTAATGTAGGACTTGCTGATGAGGAATCGGTCTAGTATTATACATGTAATTATCCGCGATTGGGTTGAAGGACTGTTGCTAACAGCGGTCATCATCAAGTGGCTCCTTGATCTTCATCAATCCGGGTATTTAATCAACTTACGGGAGGAACCGAGTTTCGGATCTACCTCACCTGATCTCGTAGCTGCTTCCAGTGTATAGGTAAGCAATGTATCGTTAGCGGAAAAAATCGAATGCAATTTCAGGTCACCAGTGAGAAATAGCCAGTGGTCATACAGCGTAATTATGCAGTGAGACTTTGCGTCTTACCTAGGTAGGATATGACGGAGGGTCGATTCGTAAAATCTGTCCAAGGGAGTGATGTTGATGCCAAACATGTTATGTCCGCCGATTTCCCAGTGCGAGTACGTGCGATTGACTGTTGGGATCATGAAGCGAATGCGATTTACAGATGAGAACTTGAATTCAGCCCATAGGTATATGCCGCTACGTCCGTCTGATCGTCGGGCAAATCGGGACCCCAAAATGCAGTAAGTCTCCGAGTTCTGGCTACATGCACCGAACAAGCCCGGATCCGGATCGTTTGCTGGAAAACACCAACTGCCAGGCGGAGTGGGCTCGGACTATTGATGCATCGGCCGTAAATCGAAACGGGATGGCTGACAGGACGGATTTCAAGATCCTCGTGGCACCAAATCCCGGCTGGGGGGTTTTGACTCGTAATCAATCTCTCTCTGTATGCAGCTAGTCGAATCCTCCCGAATTCAAAACCAACAAACGGCTAATAAAACAGCCAGCGCACTAAGTAAGCATTCCAAAGTAAGCTGAATGACCAGATAGCTTAGTTGAGAACGGGGCAAGTATGCCCGAGCCGTAAGTTCCACTCTGTTGGGACCAATCGTTGGCGTGTGAACGGAAATTTGATGTGGTGTGAAGGGTTAGGTATTACCAAAGTCTCCTCGGGGTTAGTGTGAACCCCGGATGTGCAGCAATTGCGCTATTGTCAGCCTTACACTGTGACCCGGATTAAGCGAGTCTGGACACCCTAGAGCGGGTTAGTGACAGAAAATGCCGGCTTGCGTTTGCTCGTTGTTGACTTGACGGGGTTAAGGATGGGTGTCAGGATTTACGAGACGGAATTCAGATGCGGGCTAAGGGTTTCTTAGATGCGTGCGCATCAGCGTGTCTTGATGTTTTGGAAGTAAATTTTACCTACTACATAAGATGTACCAAGGTTCATCCATACTACTTCCTTGATGCCCAGACATTTCACCAGATCTTCTCCAGATCTTGACATGAACCGGCCTACTTCACAAAGCTCCAGCGAGCTCACCGAGACCCGCTTCACATCACCGGCATCGGCCATGACACAACCATCAACCACTCCTCTCGTTCTCAACATGTCGGAAAAGCCACTGTCACCATCAAACGACTCGGATGTTGAGAAGACG